GCCATATGGTTTTGTTTGCTAACACACACGAGGTGGGACTAAAAAAATAAATGGAATCATTTTTCACGGGGGGGGCCCCTTGTAGTACAGGCTTCCCCCGTTAGGTTAGTGTTCTAGGAACCCATCAGCATCAGTGTACCAGCTAGCATTGTTGTGAGAAGCTGCGTTCAGCTTCAGCGAATTTTTTTTGGAGATTATTTCAACGTGTTTGCCCATTTCATGATGAAGGATTTATGAGCACACCTGCCCACAAAGCGCTGAGTGTTTGGCACTTTTTGACCCAAAACAGCATGACTCCATGTCCCTCCGAATCTCATTCTGAGCAACTTTTGGTTTGTTTCCCTGGATGAGAAAAGTCCACAGAGGGAAACATACTGCCGCTGTGGAAGAGGGGAGACAAAAAATGGCAGAAACACCAAAAGACAGCAGAAAATTGACGAGTTCAAAGACTATTTTGAGCAATGGGAAAAAGTATCTCAATAGGTGTATTGTATCAAACAAAGAGCACTTTGAAGGTGACTAATGTTTAAACGTGTAAGAATAAGTACACGATTTTTAAATCAATAGATTCCAGGTTTTTTGGGGTTCCCCCTCGTAGCTCTTAAAAATAGTGCAGTGCCTGGAGCAGAGTGACTTCTCAGTCAACATTTGCTTGTTTGAATGAATAAACTTATTGAATGAATAATCAAGTCTATACTCATGAAGGAAAATGAAATAAAAGATGAGTTGTATTCTTCTCGCCTCTACATACTGGGGTCACCAGCTGGTTTGGAAGAGGAGGGGAAATGAAGTCCTACTTCAAGTGATCATGTATTATACATTTGGAGTAAATCTGACACCTGTTTGATTTATGGGTGACTGCACGTAGAAAAAAATTCCAAGAAGGGTTTTATTAAATTTTAAAACAATGGATTCTTAACAAGTCAGCCAGGAATCTCAAGTATTTGCATCTTACCCTGCTTTAAGAAGTCTGGTGGGAATGGCTGCAGGAAAACATGTCCGTAAAGTTTTGCCATCAGATCATCTGTGTAAGGTTAAGGGTAATGCCCCTTGATTTATTTCATCTGCCTAATATTCCTGATGTCTATGCTCTACTACCTATCATTCAATTTCCATGGAAATTGCTCATAATCTCATCATTTCTCTTATTGTTTCTTAGGACAACTGCTTGACTGGCATCCTTATCCTCAACTTACATCACCACCTCTCCTCCAGACTCTTCCTACAGAATTCTCAATCTATCTCAACAAGCTTAATCTGTAAAAGTTACCTTTAAGTTGTCATGCCCCTGCTCCATTAAGTTTCCTAATCACTTTTTATTCCACTCCTTAAGCTCCATTAGCTGGAGCTTAGTACTGGCACAGCTCTGCAAGTGTTCTAGAACTAAAATATCTGAGATAACTGCAACTGAAGAGACTCTTTGGTTTTCTCCATGTCTAGCAATTGTTGGAGTAACACTAACACAAAGCATGAAGTTGGTAAAATAAATTTCAACTCCTTTTAATGCAGACATTATAATAGAGGCTTTTGGATTTAGCAATTCCACCATATCATTGTATTATGATGGGTATATATGGCACAAGTTTTTATGAACAATGAATTCTACAATGCTATATTTTTTAGTAACATCCATATGTGACATACTGTAGCAATAACTTTAGTATATTATCCCTCAGCTCTGAAACAACAGTGTGAGGTAGTTTTACCGTTCTCTATTTATACATACAAAGACACTGAAGCATAAAGAAAACAAAAGTCTATCCAGGAGACATGGTAGAACAACTCAATCTTGGTTCTATTTGGCACCAAATAACCTGCACTGATTGTCACCGACTGTACTTGGTGCCAGGCTCACTTTGTCCTTGTGGTCCTCAGTTTCTTCATCTGTAAAATCAGGGACCTGGACTAGGTTCCTTGTCCTGTGAACTCTGGAATCCTATGATTGTAAGATCCAATGTTCTTAAAATACAGTTCTCTTTTACTTTCTTACCTCTTTACTTTTCTGTTTTTATCCCTCCTTCCCATCTTTCTTTTTCTCAACCTTTTGTTCTTGCTACACCAATCTGCAAGCATTTTTTTGTTCCATTCTATTTGTTAATTCATGTCTTTAAAAAAAAAACTTTGTTCATAGTAATTTCTGATTTATTTATTCTGATTTATATACTCCATTCAATGACATATAGTACATATAATGGTTAATTTTATGCATCAGCTTGGCCAAACTCTAGTATCTGGTTTTTAGTTAGACACCAGTCTAGATATTTCTGTGAAGGTATTTTTTTATATGTCATTAAAATTTAAATAGGTAGACTTTAAATAAAAGCGTTTTGCTTCTATAATGTGAGTGGACCTCATCTAATTAGTTGAAGGCCATAAGAAAAAAGAATGAAGTTCCCCAAGGAAGAATGAATTCTGCTCCAAATTCTGCCTTCAGACTGCAGCATCAACTCTTCCCTGACTCTGACTCTCTAGGCTGCCAACCTGCCCTTCAGACTTCAAACTTGTCAGTTCCCACATCTGCATGGGTCAATTTTTAAAAATAAATATCTCCTTCTCTCTCTCTCTCTCTGTCTCTCTCTCTCTCTCTCTGTGTGTGTGTGTATGTGTGTGTGTCAATACATACATACACATTTCTCTGGATAACCTTGAGTAATGCACAGCATACAGTCGAAAATCATTTTCATGAACCAATGACAAATTCACTCTAGAAGTCTGTAAACCATGCTTGTGTGTTTACAAGCACAGGCATTTATATTTTTCTAGAATGCTAGTCTATAAGTGACTGAGTGGCACTCTTAACCATTACTACTTTGGATCATCAATATAGGCGTTTTATTTGAGCAGGAGTCTGGGTAGCTGAGGTCTCCATGGAAATACTCGACTCATGGAACATAAGAAGGGAGCCTTCATGGTCTTTTCTTCCTTATGTAGGATGCAGGACTACAAGCTTGGGAAACTTTATAGCAAGGTCTCTATTCTCTGCTTCCTCCACCTTCTGTCATTGCTTTTGATTCTTTTCTTGGGGAGGAGAGGAGTCGAAGCTCTCCAGCACTCTGGAAACACAGAAGGGCCTGAGTCTGGGTCCTGATTACTTACCCTGGTTGCTGCTTCAGGCTGCTCTGTTGTACCACATCACACTGAAACCCAAATCACCTAAAGCTAAGATACTCTCCTTTTATGCTGCTGTAGGGAAAGGCAGGCAGTCTCCAGGGCCTCCAGGCTTTTGGTCACAGGAAAAGAGCTCTCTGTTCAGCTCCACCCCTGGGATGACAGCATTTGATGAGAGGGTGAGGAGGTTGTGGGGAGCAGTGAGGAGAAAAGAAAGCCCAGAGAGATCAGACATAGAAGCGACCAGAAGTCTCTGGAATGTAGTATAATCTAGTTCTATAGCTCAGCCTTTTCGTGACATGCTTTCAACAAGATTTTATGATTCTGTGGTCCATCTATATGTTTTTACCTAATTTCAAGGTAGAATATTTTTCGATTTACTGGAAGGAAGCAGAGTTAGCCAAAGCTGCAGTTGGACTGCTTGGGACTAGGTTAAAGACTCAGTAGGCCTTGAGAAAAAGAATAACGTCTGTGTTGCAGGAGGAAAAATATTGTTCACCAGAACTTCAAGAACTGAGGGAACATGATGTTTGAACACGGATATTGAGTTTGCTGATTAAGGTTTTGGAAACAAAGAAATGGAAAGTAGCACTCTAAATGCCCCAGTAAGACACATGCACACCAGAATGGGAGACAAACTCCTCAGAAATTCAGCAGTCTGCCACATCTGTGACATGCTTACACGTTTAACAGTCTTTGTCTTGCCAGAACATCCTTTCCAAGAAAGAGGCTCGGTGCTTATTAGTCTTCTTTAGATTTTAGAGATAGTACCTAATACATTAGGGAATAATTCTTTGACCATTTACCACGCAATCTAGGAACCTGCGTATTTTGAAAGGGCCTAAAGCAAGACAGAGCTCTGTAGCAGTTTCAGTCAGTGGTGCAAGCAGCTTTGGCATTTAAACCTTATATCCTGGAAAAACCATGATGCCAGTTTTATGTTCTGAAGATGTTGTGTGGAGACTCTATCAAGTCCTAATAAGAGAGTTTTTAGGAATATGGACATAAATAAGAAATAAAAACTCCCTGGGAAGTGGTTGTGAGTTTATCATTATTAGAATATTAAGCAACAGACATTAGTGCTGTATAAAAGTAGAAATATTCCTTTAGAAACTCCAGTCTTCCAAGTAGCTGGAGCTACAGGCACACACTACCATGCCCGCCTAATTTTTTTTTAAAATTTGTTCTAGAGATGAGGTCTCACCATGTTGCCCAAAATGGTCTCAAACCCGCGGGCTCAGGCAATCCTCTCACCTTGGCCTTGCAAAGTACTGGGATTATAGGCTTGAGCCACCGTGCCCGGCCGATGCACACATCTTTAACAACGCACATATTGACTGGGTGTGGTGACTCAAGCTTATAATCCCAGCACTTTGGGAGGCTGAGGTGGGAGGACTGCTTGAGCTCAGGGCTTCAAGACCAGCCTGGGCAACTTGGTGAAACTTCATCTCTACAATAAATGAAAAAATAAGCCAGGCATGGTAGTGTGTGTCTGTAGTTCCAGCTATTTGGAAGGGAGGCAGAAGGATCGCCTGAGCTCAGCAGGTTGAGGCTGTGGTGGCCGCGAGCATGCCATTGCACTCCAGCCTTGGCAGCAGAGTGAGACTCTGAATCAAAACAACAACAACAATAAAACAAAACCAAAAATAATGCACTTTGCACTGTATTAAACATTTGTCTATTTATGTATTTTGTTTATATTCCGAAATGTGAGATTTTGAAGGGCAAGACCATATGCGTTCTTGGTACTTAGCCTGGGCATGAAAAAAGTGAGCATTGAAAAATATGTGTGAAATTAAAAAAAATCAATGAGAACAGTTTTTTAAAAAAACCACAATCTAACATATTTCTTCCCAGTTGCCCATAACAAAGCTATGAATAGGACTGGATCATCAGCTCCAGCCTTTCTCCCTCAGTACCCTGAGCATGGCCTCCCTGATGGGCTTGGACTTCACACTATAGATGATGGGGTTGAGCACAGGAGGCACCACCAGGTACACATAGGCAACCAGGGCATGTACGATGGAGGGAAGGTGCTTCCCAAAACGATGGATCATAGACATGGTAATGACTGGGATGAAGAAGACAAAGACAGCCAGAATGTGAGAGACACAGGTGTTGAGGGCCCGGATGCGCTCCCTGGGAGATGCCAGGCCCATGACGGTGTGCAGGATGAGGGAATATGACAGTATGATGAGTAAGGAGTCTATGCCTCCTGTGGACAGCACCACATAGAGCCCATAGAGGATGTTGACAGTAATGTCCGCACAGGCTTGCCTCATCACATCAGCGTGGAAGCAGAATGAGTGAGACAAGAGGACCTTGCCAGGGCAAAAGTTCAGTCGCTTCAGCAAGAAGGGCACTGGGAAGAGGGACAGAGTGGCTCTAGCTACAATGGCCATCCCAATCACAATGATGACATTATTTGTGAGGATAGTTGCATAGCGCAGGGGGTTGGAGATGGCCACAAAGCGGTCAAAAGACATAGCTAGCAGCACTGAGGACTCTACAACAGAGAAGGAGTGCAGGAAAAACATCTGGACCAGGCAGGCGTTGAAACCGATGAGTCGATGGTCAAACCAGAGCACAGCCAGGGTGGTGGGCAGTGTGCTGAAGGTGAGGCCCACATCACAGAGGGCCAGCATGGACAGGAAGTAGTACATGGGCTGGTGCAGGCTGGAAGTCCTCCTCACAGCCAGAAGGATCAGGCAGTTCCCAGTGAGGGCCACGGTGTACATGGAGGAGAAGGGGATGGAGATCCAGCCATAAACGGTCTCCAGCCCTGGGATGCCAATCATCAGGAAAGCAGGGGGCTGGAAGAAGGAGATGTTGACATAGGACTGGGAAGAGAGCATCCTCGGAAGGCAGCTGGGAGTTTCGGAGTGATGTGATCTCTTCAATCTGGACAGGTAAAAGGACACTGACAGGACACCTGTCATTAGGAAGACATTTATTTATGCTGTGTAGGATTTTTCATTAAAATTTTCTACTTTCTCAGCCCTTCCTCTTTATTATTTACTCTTCCAGGTATATATATACATTAACTAGTGTGTCCTCAAAACATATACAGGTTGTAAGAAATAGTTTAACTTCTCCCTAAATAGCAGAATATAAGTGACAGAGGTAGATTTAGAATTCAGTTGTTTCTAACTATACATCCTGTACTGTTTTCACTCTATCATATGGTGTCTTCACTAATGAAAAATACTTAATACTTTTTTTTTTTTAATTTGGAGTATCACTCTTGTCACCCAGGCTGGAGTGCAGTGGCAAGCTCATGGCCACCGCAGCCTCAACCTGCTGGGCTTAGGCGATCCCAACATGCCCGGCTAGTTTTGTGATTTATTTTAGAGATGGGATGTCACCAAGTTGCCCAGGCTGGTATTGAACACCTGAGTTTAGGCAATCCTCTCGCCTTGGCCTCCCAAAATGCTGGGATTACAGGCCAAGTCAGTGTGCCTGCCAATACTTTTAAAAATGTAAAACACACAATAAATGTTCATCTTTGTCATCAACATCATCGTCTCTGTCTTTGTCCTTGTTGTTATTCCATTGATTTGCATTTTGCTCTATTTTAAGTTCTTTGATGTTAATTATTGCATTGAAGTCTGACAATTACCTTGCTGAAAGATCAAGAAAGGAAATATTTCACCTATAGTGAAAGGAAATAAATCAAGCCCATTAAAGTGTAGGAAATGACTGGGCGCAGAGGCTCAACCTGTAATCCCAGCACTTTGGGAGGCCCAGGCGAGAGGATTGCCTGAGGCTGGGGGTTCGAGACCAACCCGGCAACTTGGTGAGACCCCGTCTCTAAAATAAATCACAAAACTAGCTGGGCGTGGTGGTGTGCATCTGTAGTTCCAGCTACTTGGAAGGTCAAGGCGGAATGACGCCTAAGCCCAGCAGGTGGTGGCTGTGAGCATGTACTGCACTCCAGCCTGGGTGACAAGAGTGAGAGACTCCAACTAAAAAAAAAAAGTATAGGAAACTCTAGGTTTTCTCATAAACCAGTTATTAAACTGGAGAGGGGGAGAGAGAGAAAGAGAGAGAGAGAGAAAGAGAGAGAGAGAGAGAGAGAGAGAGAGAGAGAGAGAGAGAGAGAGGAGGGTTTGAGTACAAATCCTAAATATTATTTTTTAAATCAAGTTTCAGAAATTGTTAAGTCTCAAGCTGAGAATGATATTATAGCTATTAGGAAAGTTTTGATAAATGAAGCAGCAATTGATTTTCATCAGGTCACTGAGAACAAGATCTTTCTTCATCTTGCCCACAGAATATCAGCCTGGTCACAGGATGTCCTTGCAATTCAGGCTACAATTTGCCTCACAAGAATAATTTCTTCACTTCATTGACCCAACATTACCCACAATTTAGGAACGCCAGACATTTCGTTCAGCTTCTTAGCATACTCTTTCTAAGGTTTGGATTTACTCTTGAATGTGTTTCCCCCTAAATTGATCAGCACCGTCATATGTCAGAACTGAGAGAACCATAGCTGTAGGCTCAAGGACACTGAAGTTCTCTCCCTAAAGTTAGAATTTCCACAGACATCTACTGAAACACGAATCAAAGACATAAATTTAGACTTATTTAATGTTCCATGGGGGTCTATCTGACTAATGACACTAATTTTAGTGTCTACTGCTAAGCAAATAAATTTACTAATTTATATTTTCTGATCCAGCTATTAGATTTCTCACCTTTTGCTTTGTAAATAATACCTCGCGTATTCAAACAACCACGTAAGGTAGATATTAACACCTCTTTTTAATACAATTTAATAGCAATAATAATATTATTAAGACTTCTTTGTTCATATATTCTACTTCCTCTCTACCCCAATCTTTAATCTAGCATCCCCGTAGGTGCCCAAGTTGACAACTTAAATCACACAGTTTATAGTTAGTAAAGATAAGTGGCGCCTTCCGATTAATAAAACTGTTATTTTTAGTCAGTCTTATTTGGGTTTGCTTAGGGTCTATCCAGGAAATATTTTCTTTGTTGTTGCTAGCTTAAATCAGAACAGAGGGTAAATTCTGAACCTTCCATTTAACTTTCAGGAATGTGAGGATAAACTGTTCTGGAATTAAGGGACGTTTCTCATTCTTTCATCCTGCGTTGATATAACTATTTTAGAGCAATTCACAAAACCTCCATCCCTATCTTAGAACTTACCCTGGTTCTATATTTAATGTTTATGTCCTATGTAACTCTGGATATTTTTCTGATCTACTGTTTTTAGATGTAGAAGAGGAATGCAAATGCAAAATTTAGCTAAATAATGCAAGAAGCTGAGAACTCAAAGATAAAATTATATAGTATCTTTTAAGAAAAGTTGCCACTAGCCGGGCATGGTGGCTTAAGCCTGTAATCCCAGCACTTTGGGACATGGAGGTGAGAGGATTACTTGAGCCCAGGGGTTCGAGACCAGCTTGGGCAACTTGAGGAGACCTCTTCTCTAAAATAAATAAAATTTAGCCTAGTGTGGAGGCGCACTCCTGTAGTTTCAGCTACTTGGAAGGCTGAGGCAGAAGGGTTGCCTGAGCCCAGGAGGTTGAGGCTGCAGTGACTGTGAGAGTGTCACTGCCTGCCAGCCTGGATGAGACTCTGACTCAAAAAAAAAAAGAAAAGTTGTCACAAATTAAGAGTAGTCCTTATCCTTATGCAATCAAATCAAATCAAATTCTCCCTTATCTCCAGATAATGACCTTTCCATCTGTTTTCATGTATTGGGAATATTTCAGTGATGAGAGCCTGCCATTAGGAAGGGATTCTGTGTATTGAAATAAAAGTTTTTTGTTTTGTTTTCCTTCTTTATTAAAATATCAATTTTAGAAGCCAGTTTGGATTGTCATGTTTCCTAGTTCTCATGAAGTAGGAAAGCATTATGTTAAATCTCTTAATTCTGGAAATCAGACCAGGTTTGGTCTTTTGTGATTGTCTCCAGGACACTAAAGAGTCAAAGTTTTTTAAACATTGTAGCTTTTCAAAAAGGAAGTAGGAAAATGTACATGATCTTTAAATTATTTCCATTTTAACACACTAGGATTCTGTTAATGTGTAATTGTTTGTGTCTGGGGGTGGAATCAGTTGCCTGAAAACAAAAGGAGGGATTCAATGTGCTTAATTTCCTTTCCCTGAAAGTCAAGAGGTTTCCTTAAAGGCTCTTCTTGTGCAGAAGAATGTGAAGGTCAATCTTATAGTGAGATCTGAGAGTCCAAGCAAACATTCAGATCATCCCTTAGATGCCACATGAGTTGGGGTTCTAAGGTACACTCATAGGATTGCCCTACTTAGAGAAAACAAAGGACGATAATTGTCTTGGTCACGGGATTTAGGTTTCTGAGTAACTATCTGAAATGAGAAATCTCTGCACTACGTAGGCTCCCTACCTCTTCCTCATCTAGGGGCATATTCCTGCCATGTATGGAAGTCTATGCCTCCTCACTTCCCTTCCTTCTTCTGATATCTGCTTATCCCTCATCCCATTGACTCCTCCTTCTGGCGGCAGTTGACACAGAAGGGAGTTCAGATCCACTGAACAGGTCCCCACCCTTCTAAACCATGTAAATGGGATTGTGTCTCCCCCACATCACTCACCCTGCTTGTGACAGCCTTCTTTACCCCTCCACATCCTGAAGGAGCCCAGGAAGATTCTGCAGCTGACATCTTGTCTTTATACCTCTGGCTGGATGCCTTGGTGAGTTGCTGCTCCCAAGAGATACTCTGGCTACCGGCCACCCAGGAGATTCTCTTCCTTTTCTTTCTGGGCAATGGGAAATGTATGATAGGAAGGAGCGTTACATGCAAATGAGATATTTGAACAACTATGCAGTGGAGGAGAAGGGAGGGCTAGAATTATCATTTCACTGGGTTCAAGGTGCAAAGCATGCATTCTCCCACACCTGCAGGACATTCTACTGAGCACTCCAGTCTTTTCCTTTACTGTGCTCCTCAGTGATGACAGCCCTGCCATTTTGAGTCACTCAGAGCTCTTTCTAGACTCTCCAAGTGATGGCCTTCCAGCGTTTCAGGGTCAGTGATGTCTATTTCTCTCCTCTCCCTTGTGTGCCCCCAGGGATGGTCATTCAGATCTTGTGGCCCCACTTCCTGTGCCTGTTCCTCATGGACATTGAAGGAGCTCTATTCTCTTCAACAGCAAACACAAATCAAGGAACCTGAGGAACTAGATAGGGCAAAAAGGGCCCTGAGCCAGGGAGAGATGAACATAGTCAGGCTTGTTTACTGGGCATTCTCCCATCTCCTTGTTTTTCTGTCATAAAAAGATAGAGAATCATTCAACCTAGGATATTTTTCCTTGCTGTGTTTCTGCATCCACAGGGGTCTCTCTTCATTCCTGTATTGTGACCTAAGTTGAAAACAGGAAGCAGCCCATGGGCTGAACTGCAGAATCATCTTAAGTGAATATCTATGTTTCTATACATTGGCCTTTGAAACTTGTTTCAGCTTCCCTATTCCCAAATTTTCTACCAATATTTTTTGCCAGTGAAGTGAGTGTCTGACTAGGTGAACTCTTTGGGATAACTATGAAATGAAAGTGTCCTTATCCCAGGGGCATGGACATAAAATAATTCTAACTAAAGACTAGAGTCTCTAATATTATACACTCAGGTATTAGTGGAGGTCGGAGAGAGGACATTCTTGATCAAGGAAGTGCCGTTTTGGATCAAGGAATACCCACTGGTTCCATACCTGTGTAGGGCTGTCTTTTGGGACATAATCTCTGGTAGGGAATTTCTTGGAATGTGGTGTGCACTTAGTAAGGAGGTATTGAATAATAGATAAACTTTCAGGTATTTATTTAGAATTTTTTTTCCATGAATAGGTTTATTCA